TGATAAGTGAAACCAAAGTAGTAGGGTAATGAAAAGAAATTAAGGGGACATTTTCTTTTCTTATAGACCAAAACGGCTTATTTTCCTTCTATAAAAAATGAGCCTTATTTTCCACACAAATTTAACTCTAGGTTTTGATGGTGCTACATCAATTCTCCTCCTTTGAAAAGAACTTGACTGTATTGAGTTTGCAGCTCTTCCAACGACATCATCCTCGTCATCAATTTGGTTTAGAATAAACAAACTAATTGTCTTTTTACGCTTAGTGGATAGCTTGAGATCTTAGGTGAAAATGAACACCATATATGGAGGATTAATTTCATGCTTGAAAGAATAGGGGTTGTTTTAGTCCCTTAACAAGATATGACATTCATATATATCAGCAGATATATGTATTAAGAACTTTGAGGAAAGTATCATTCACCCATGCTAGCTTATGGATTTGGATCTATGTAGAGGTAGTCTCTAAAATTAAACAAAGTAACTTTTTTGTGGCAATAACCGAGTTTCATGGTAGGTTGGAAGATATACATTAGTCATTTTTCAATCTCTGATTTCCTCATTCTCTCATGTATATCATCATTTGAAGAGAGAAGATATATATTGTAAGACTAGGCAATGCTTTTTTTCTCTATCTGCGTAACCAATTAACCATCAAAACCTCCACCATCAATACTATCTTCTTTAGTATCAACACTTTCAATTTCACGATAAGTTTACCTTCCAAGGGTCCAAACCTGGAAGAAACAATTTAAATTTCAAAAAGTGTCCTGCAAGCTACACCTTTTGTGGCAGCATGTAGTTTCCTCTTAAAGTTGTTGATTGAACGCAAGCAAGCTTTTCAACCCTGATTCCATATTTTTCTTACTATTTGTAAATTTCTTAGAGAAAAATTGGGAAAAACAGGAATGAGAGGAGCTGAACACTTTTAATTTAATAGAAAATCCAAATATAATCTTAGAATTTACATAAAGTTGATGACGTGAACTCAAATTAACCAGTTTTAAAATTATAGTGTGTTATGTTCTTGTACTTTTCATATTGTTGAAAAAACAAAAAGAAGTTGATGATGTTAGCTTTTCCTTAAAACATGGGTCTTTATCTACTAAGATCCTCAAATCAAAATGTCTTAAAAAGGGATAAACATCACGTGTTGGATAACAAAACATTAAATTATAGCTAAAAGTAACTACATTATATTGGAAAAAACAAACTGAACTAGTTGGCTTTAGCAAACCAGGATCAGCCTTGCAGTCTTCTAACTTGCTACATCTTCAACTTCAAAATGGAGGTTTGTGGCTACTCGCTCCAACAATATTTGCCCTCAAAGATATGTCTAAAAGCTTACCTAAGTTTTGTGCCCAAAAATTCCAAAAATTTTAGAGTAGTGTTGTCGTTGAGAAGTTCCCATCATCACATTTTTTCTTGAAAAATATTAGTACACCTTTCAATTAGAAACATATTTCGATATTTTT